TCATACATTCTCTCTATTAAAACACAAACAATTCAGACGAGATTATTCTAATACCACTTTGCTCATCTCTATCCTTTTAAGTCAACATGCCATAATTATTCGTTTGATCTAGAGGAAAAAGATAAAGTTTAAATCTTATTTTATAAAAAAAAAAGCAAGGTGTTGTGAAGAAAAGAAAATAGGGAAAGAAATGAAGGATGTTTTTATCAAAAAGAAATAATTTAATAAAACTGATTGGTAGGCCATGGTTAATTTTGATATATTAAATAAGTATTAATGATGCATGTGAGCCACTTTGTTAAGTAACAGTGGCCTAAGGAAAGGTCTCAAAAAGTGAAAAACTTGAGAGAATCTCACAAAAGTGATGGGGAGTTTCAGATATATATATATTTTTTTATTTTAATTTTCTCCATAGTTAGAATATTATTTATTTACTTATTTATTTATTTTGGGTGAGGGTTCGTTTGGTTCGTAATCGGATTTGGAATTAGAATTAAAATGGTCCATTTCCATAGTTTATTTGATTCACACAGGAATAGAAATGGGAATTAGAATTAGCAGGAATGGGATTTCATTCCCAAAAAAGAAACAGGAAATGGCCATAAGAGGAAATGCTATTCTAACAGAAATGAGAATGAAATTTTGATTCCATTCAACCAAACAGTTAGAATCAAAATAATCAATTCCTATTCTGATTCCAGACCCCTATTCTCACAAACCAAATAAGGCCTTAAAATATTTATTTTAAGAGACCAAATCTAATCCCAATAAAGGGTCCCAACATTGAGCCACTTCCTTGATCTCCATGGAAGATGTTCTCAGCTGCAAAAGACTGGACCCAGTGTTGGGACATGATCCAAATTCTATTTTAGGGGGTGATGGGATCTGTTCCTCACAAATGAGCACCTTACAAGCACATCCACCGGAACATCTCTCGTGAATAATAACGAAGGGAGATGTTCTCAATGCATAATAAGATGTGTGTGTAAGGCACTTGTGAGGCGCCAGGTGTGAGGAGCAGATCCGATCTCGTTGCCGTGATGGATAACATGGTAGGGTTGTTCATAACGAGACCCAAATCGATCAATCCGGTCTGATCTAATCCAAATTGGCCGGTTTTTCTTTAGCACCGATCGGTTTCGGGTTACAAAAAAACATAAACTGATGGTTTGGTTCGATTTCGATTTTCATGCCGAACCGACCCAAACAGATTTAGATATATATATATATATATATTAGCTTTATTTCAGAAATATACATATTATATATAAAATTTATGATATATAAAATATCAGTTTTAATCTATCAAATCATTTTTAATTTCCAGGCATTTAGCCTTTGCTTTCTTAGACTTGAATCCTTTACCGTTTACACCAAGAGAATCGTTCACAAAATCGACCCAAACCGATTCAAACCAACCAGATCGATTTTACTTAGTAATGAGTCAATTTTAATTTCATTTTTAGGTAAACCGATCAGGTTGGATCCATTAGAAAAATGTCAATAAACCAACCCAACCCAACCCGACCCGTAAACAACCCTACAACATGATTGATTTTCATGAAGAAGACCAACCATCTTGTCGAATGTCGGTCTCTCCCCCCACTCCCCCTCTAATTTGTCTGCTTGTCCTTCGATCCATCCAATAGCAATAAGCTAATTATACGAATTAAGAAAATAATAAAAGAAATAAACAGCAGGTTTACAAAGGAAAAGAAAAAGATTTTGTTCATCTCTATTCTCTACCTCGACAGGGACACGTGCTCTTCACGAGGAAATGGCTTCTCGAACCCACGTGTACCGAGGCAAAGGACAGCCACTAGTTGAAGATTCTAATGTTCCCAACGCACAAAATGAAGTACTCTTTACCAACACGTGTCCTTTCACGGAGCAGCGGATGAACGGCCAGGATGGGACTCAGAGACCTTTTCGCTTTTAAGCTTTTCAAAAAGCTGGGTCATGTGGGGAATGTGTGGCTGACGTGTCGCGCCGCCTATTGCATTCCGTTCTCCTTACGATCAGCACGGGGTCGTTGTGGGCCTCAAGGGCCTACGTGGACTTTCGTCTTAAAAATTTCGCGCTTTTGGATTTCCTCCCGTTCAGTAACTTACCACTCCGAGTAGGTATGGATCGTAGTCGTACGGGTGTGTGTCATTAATAACTCGGCAAAAACTCGGTGAAAACTTGGAGCTCGGCTTCAAATTCAATATTGCTATGTACGTCATTCTCTTTTTTGTCTTTTTCTTGACGTCAGATCTCATACCGGGCCTTACATGAGGTCGAGTACCTCTAATACCAATCCGACGGTCGGTAAGTAGTAAGTACAATGTATGCGCAGCGTCGCACACGGTTTTCAGGATCGGCCCATAGGCCATAGCCCAACATCATCCACTCCAAGTGTTTTCTCACGTGACAGTATCCAAATTCGTGGTAAACAAAGTTCTCTTTTAGAGCTCGTCAGTTGTCACGTGGCAAACACTTGTTACCATTGTTTGTCCTTCTATGTGGGCTGCCAAATTTCAGATTCCTGGACTAGATTCGAAGATATGTTTGTACATTCGTGTACTTTTTGAAAATTAGATAATAATTATTTTATAATTCAATAGAAAAATATAGCATCGGAAACAACTTTACTAATCAAAACCCATCATTGGTTACAAGTTTTTTAATATCATGTCTAAGATATATAATTTAAACAAGATTCTATTCATCAGCCATGCATGTGATGCACCTGATCATGGGATATCATTCGTTATTTTTTTTTTTAGTTTTCGTTGATTATTTAAGAAAAAATCAAAAAAAGAAAAGAAATAAATGTCAGGTTTTTTAGAGGGTAGGATCGACAGAACAGGCTTAATTATTATGGGTGTCTACAAATCAAAGGGGTGAACCAGATTCCACTAGAATTTGTAAAATCTGTTGGAATAAATACCCCAAATGTTTTTTATGTGGGCTACAATATTAAAATGCATTTTATATTCGTATCAACCCAAAAAATCAAACTAGATAAGAAAAAAAGCACTATAGAAATAAATATTTTATTAAAATTAAGACAAGTCCACATCTTACTAGTTGGCCTGTAACAAACTAATGAATGCTGCAAGGATAAATATCCAAACTCAATTTTTTCCCAAAGCCAAAAGTGGGCCAAGTAGCAATTTCTTCTACGACCTCCACGGCTCCAACTACCATATATTATAAAAAAAATAAGGAAATTTTTTTATGTACTTTTATCCAAAATTCATCATGGCATTTTTTTTACATTTCTATTAAAGAGTTAGTATATGTTTGGTATAGTTTTTGTTTTATTAAGGGCCCCTTTCGTAAGTCATTTTGAGTCTTGTAGCTTTGACAGTCAAAAGACGTATTAAGTTTTTGATATAAGATCTGGGCAGTCCAAAGACTGTTTGATAAATGTACGTCTTTTCGTACGAGATTAAAACACGAAAGACGTAGGAAGCTTCATTTGGAGCTTCTCAAAATCAGCCCAAAATGGGCTTCGCGTGTTTTTTTAGCATCCCGTCTTTGACGGCTAAATCTTCTGCGTGCCAAATGGAAATAGACCGATTTTCGGTCTTTCCGGCTTGTAAACAACCGAAAGACGCGCCAAACGGGCCCTAAATAAACGTTTGTACTTGATTTATCTTCAAAGAGAATGTTTGATTCCATTTAAGTTTATTCAGTAAATGTTTTGTACTTGTGTCATTGCAAAGCTAAGAAACACATTTAATGAGAGCGTTTATGACACATAGGCACCATTAGGCACCACATCAGCAAAATGCCAATAAATGCCTACCCATTTCAGGAAGCTCCAAAATGAAGCTTCCTAAAATGGGAGAGGTGCACAGAAACTGAAGTTTGCTTTTGCAAATTTCTATACACAAATGCAATTAATGAGGCATTTGCTGATGAGATGCCTATGTGGCACCATCAATAAACGTAAACGGAACCAAATATATACAAAACTGAGAAAAGTATTTGATAAACCGTTTATGAACACTAGGCACTACATTAGCGGAATAGTGAATAAACGCTCAATCGTTAGAGGAGACGTTAAAATAAATCTTCCCCCAATGGTTGGTGTGCACATAAATCAAAATTCACTTTTATGAATATCAATGCGTATGGATGAATATGATGCAAAAAAATGCTGATTTGATGATGACATATAACATTTTGATAAACATCTATCACAAAATGTCCAACAAACTAAACGCATGCTTAAATTCACCATCACTTTTCAACACATCCAATGAACCAATGTCATTGAGTTCTATTGTCTAAAACTCATCTTCTATTAGAATTCTACTAGTGATTATTAACATAAATATTTAAGTATTTTACAAGACCAAACTACCTTTGAATGTCTAATCAAGCTTATTAAATATTTTTTATGACAAATGTACCTTCAATTCGAGACCAGACCAATACCAGGCCTACAAATTTTAGTATGTGTATATGCTATTTTATGTTATATTATATATTTCATATGTAAATATTATAATATGACACTTAACATGCCATTTAAAATTATATATATATATATAATATTCTAAACGTAAAAGTTTATAGCTTGGGGCTTATGTTCCAAGCTTGGAACCTGGATTGGGTCAGGTCTAGGCAATGGCAATTATATTAGGTGTAAATCTGACCAGGCTTGGTCCGACCAGACCTAATCCATGATCATCACTAATTTTTTTTTATTGAATCTTAAGAAAATGCCAAAAAGTTATAAAGATAACATTTTTTTTTCTTTTTATTTGAATACATCCCATTTTTTTTTATAAGGATGGAGAGACAAGGACATTTTCATTAATTAAAAAATGAAGTAGGATTTTCTTTGGTGTTTATATAAAAATGGGGATGTGCCCAGTGCCCGGATCACTACCCATAACCAGAACCATAAGAACGTGGCGAGTATATGAGGGGGAGAGGCGAGGAATTGAAAGCGGCAAGCGAGGGAGGGCGCTGACGAAGCGTAGAAGGGGTTAGCACCCACTTTCTTTATATATATAGAGAGAGAGAGAAATGGGAATCAAATAGGAAGATCGCAAGGCCACAAGTACTTGTGGCTGAGAATTGCTCCCTTGCTTACGTGGCATCGAGACCTCGTTAAACGGAGGAGCAAATCACAACAATCCCAAACAACGACGACGACGACGACGACGACGCCGAAGACGACAACATCATCAAAACGACGACACGCCCACCCTCCCGCGAACAACACAGCCTAGCTGCAGCCACGCCCATACACTCATGACGGGCAACACTCAGGTTAGTAAGCAATAGAACCAGCGTATCCGGATTTCATTCATTTTCCTCGGGTTCGTCAGATCTATAGTGGACGAAAATGTCGGAAGCAAAAGACCCGGCGATTAAGCTCTTCGGGAAGACGATTCCTCTCACGTCAAACGACGAGACTTCGGCAGTCTCTGCCATCTCTGGCGCTCCTACTGCTATTGCTTATGCTAAAGACAAACTCGATGAGGATCGTTCTTCTTCTGCGGCTTTGCAGGACGAGAAATCAAAGAGAGCAGCAGCAGAACAACAGCGACAACAGAAGGAGAAGGTACGTGCTGTCTTCTAGTGGAGAGTTTTCCACCATCTGTCATATGCAAATGAGATGCTGAAATCTAGGAAGGAACGACCCATTTTTCAGAAAAGTAAAACAATGGGTCGATCTTTCTCGAGGCCTTTTTCTCTTTCTTTTTCTGCTTTTCCGTGCTTTAAACTACTTTGGTTGTTTCCTCCCCTCTCTCCGAGTTTCTTATTTTGGTGCGATTTGGTTTTTCACTTGGAAATGCTATTTTTAGATAAATTTGTAAATGAGGTGTTTTTTGTCCGCGGTTTGATTTTGAACATTGCGTTTCTTTTTCATGGTTTGCTTTTGGAATACTTGTTTTCGGGTTTCTTTTACTTCATGCCACAAACAATTTTCTTTCCAGCTTTCTCTGAAAAAAGAAAAAGAAAGAAAAAAAGAAATCCAGGTCTAACTTTCTCAGACAAATGACTTTTAATAATTTGGTCACTTCCTTAGACTTCAAAATTAACGTAGTTTTGACAGGGAATTAGTATTTGGTTTTTCATCAAAACCAAATACTAATTATCTTGTATTCAGTTTTCATTTGGGGCTTCCTGGTTAATTATCATGCACGATGTACCTGTGGAAGGATTGCGATCTTCTGAGTTCGGAGTGTGTGTTAAAAGTCTAAACCTTTTTCTTTTATTTTCCGGTTTAGTTCAGGTCCTCTCTTACACTTCCATTCTTCTTGATGTTTAATCTTCTCTGCTTAGTCTTTACTCCCCCGATTGCCCCAGCAGGGTCCTTTATTTTTACTGGGTGTCAATTCCTTCACTGTTTTGCTTCGGAAAATTGTTCCTTTATCGAATGGGTTTCTGCAGTCTGCAGAGATCTCTGGACAGCTCAAGGTTTATTTTCTTTACAAAATCCGCACTTTGTGACAAACAATTACTGTGGAGACAGTGGAGTGTGCTTCATCATTTATTCTGCAGTAGTTTCTTCTTTATATGTAATTTAATATAATTTGAGAATCTTCGGCTTTGACAACTTCAATTAGTTTTCCGCAAAAAAAAAAAAAAAAGCATCTCCGGATCAAAATTTTCCTATCTTTTTTCCGCTAATATTTTTGTTGAAGTCTCCGCATCAAAGAAAGTTCGATCACAAAATATATAGAAACTGTTTATTAGTACTATAATATCATGTTTATTATTCACCTTCTCTTCAACTTACCCCATTCTTCTAAGAATTAATTTTCTCTATTTCTGTTTTTTTTTTCTTCGAAATGATGTATTATTTGAATTTTCAATTTCTTTGCACCAGTTCAAAGATAAACCAAGCAATGTTCTTTCAATTAAAATGTGTTGTTACTGTACCTAATCCTATAATTCTCTAATTGCGAAAGAAAAAGCTGATTCCATGGTGCAAATTAAATGCACTAGACGTGATTATCTTTTGAAATTTCCAATATGTTTTTTATTAAATTCTGGTAGAGCCTTTAACCTTGATTCCTAAACATTGTTCTAATAACAGAAAGACAACGCATACATAATTTGTTCTTGGATGTGAAATATTAAACAGTTATGTGTAGAGGAAAAAAGAGGATATTAATTTAATAAGCTATGCATGAAATTCGGTATTTGCTCGCTTCGTTTCCTTTGTTCACAATGGTTGATTCTTTGCTCATGGAAGATATGGTCCTAAATTTCAGGATCCATCAGGAGGAAAACCGACCAAGCCTACGGGGGAAGATGGCGGACCACCTACAAGTCTGAAAAAGCTGTCAGATCCAGCTACTTCCTTAGAGATGATTGATGAACCCCAAACCGCCTCAGTTGAGAAGGAAGCTGCAACAACAAAAGGTTGCAAGACTGAGGAAGAACAGAACGAGACAACTACGAGTATCCCACAAGAGAAGACCCTGAAGAAGCCTGACAAGATACTGCCATGTCCTCGCTGTAACAGCATGGACACAAAGTTCTGTTACTTCAATAACTACAACGTCAATCAACCCCGGCATTTCTGCAAGAATTGCCAGAGATACTGGACAGCCGGTGGGACCATGAGGAATGTGCCTGTGGGTGCTGGCCGTCGCAAGAACAAGAACTCTGCCTCACATTATCGGCATATTACAGTCTCCGAAGCCCTCCAGACCACTCGAACTGATGCCCCAGATGGAGTTCACCACTCAGCACTGAAACCCAATGGCACCTTACTCACATTCAGCTCTGATTCTCCTCTATGTGAATCTATGGCTTCCATGTTGAACCTTACAGAGAAGACAATTCGGAACTGCACCAGGAATGGGTTTAATAGAGCAGAAGAGCAGCGAATTCCAGTGTCCTGTGGGGTAGAAAATGGGGATGACCGTTCTAGTGGATGTGGATCGTCTATAACTTCATCGAATTGTACAGAGGATGGGAACAGGGTAAGTTTGCAAGATCCAATGATGCGGAATTGTAATGGGTTCCCTCCTCAGATACCGTGCTTTCCAGGAACTCCTTGGCCTTATCCATGGAATTCGGCTCAGTGGAGCTCTGCAGTACCCCCACCTCCTGCCTTCTGCCCTTCAAGCTTTCCCGTATCTTTCTATCCCACGGCAACTTATTGGGGTTGTACTCTTCCAGCCAATTGGAACATCCCCTGGATATCCCCACCATCATCTTCTTCAAGTAATGGGGGATCGGGATCTGGTCCTAATTCTCCATTGGGCAAGCATTCAAGAGATGGAAGCATTCTTAAATCAAATAACAAAGAGAAAGCTGATCCATCAAAAGAGAGCAATTCAGAGAAGTGCCTTTGGATTCCAAAAACTCTGAGGATCGATGATCCTGGTGAAGCTGCAAGGAGCTCCATATGGTCAACACTGGGGATTAAAAATAACAAGGCTGATTCAATCAGTGCAGGGGGGCTCTTTAAGGTCTTCCAACCAAAGAGCGAAGAAAAGAATCACACGGCTGGAGCCTCTCTGGTATTGCAAGCTAATCCTGCAGCACTGTCTCGATCATTGAACTTCCATGAGACCTCATAATGGGAAATTGTTCTGTTGAGCAAGTGTTTCATTGAGACGGTGGTAATGGTAATGGAGGTTGCAACTGGTTGAGTTGAATTTGCAGCCAACACCTGTGGTTTGGGCCACGTTGGTCCACTATTCAGGCATTTACTGCTTATAGATCGGCAAGGCAACAAGTTTGAGAGAGGAAGGCCTGAGAAGGACCCAGTTCTGGTCTCCTCCGAAGAGAAAGTTCTTTCCTAGAGCTCTCATACCCAAGTAGCCAACTAATTTCATTCTCTCTCTTTTTGGTTTTTCACAGTATGACACTATGAACAAGTCTTGTTTTTTCCTAGATGGTTTGCCAGTTTGTACATGTATATATCTAAATTTAAAGTGGTCAGATAGAGGTGGATAAAGGAGTGGGAGATTCTTATATGTACTAAAAAATAAATTTGTGAATCCAAGCGAGTAGAAGTTTTTCTTATTTTAATGTCTCTTACCTTGACAGACAAGACCTCCTTTATGGGATTCTAACGCTTTACTCTTTGAGAGTTGAGACTTGAGTTGCAGAGCCCAGCCCAAAATTGGGCACCTTCTGTATTCCTTCCTCCTATCCAAAACGATACCATATTAAGATCTCTGTGCTCTGTAACCCCATCAGTTATTGCCACAGATTTCTCTGGTTCCTAAAATTTTCAAAAATGGATTCATTTCATCATTCCATGCTAAGTTGTTACTCATTCTCAACTTACTGATGAATTTTCCATTCCGATCACATGGAACTGATGTACTATCGAGAAATACCTCAAACTCAAAGACCGACCGATATGCAACTTATTTTGGTTACCCCAAGAATAGTTTCAGAGTTCCAAGTTAGAACTGAACGTAAGCAACAGGAAAGGTAAAAAGATGTTTGGTTTTTGGTCTTGTCCGGTTGTTTGGACGAGGCAAAAGCGGAAGAAATCATTCCTTAGCTCGGTGGTGTTGCAACTTGGCAAATGGATCCGATTTCAACATGCTAATATTCTCAATCTCAGATTCGACATTGAATATTATCAGTGGGATTCAGATTAATTATAAACCAATAATCGGATTCAAAGTCGGGCAAATGGATACTACTCGCAGCCTAGGGAGGGGATCAAGTTGGAGATAAAAAAGAGTGGTGGGGCATCATCTAGAAGGGCGGAAAAAACAAAAGTTGTGATAGGTCCTTTACTTATCCTGATAAACTTGCACTTGTGTGAGAAAAGGCCAAGCATCTTTTCTTTTCGACGCCATGGAAACCAGACAATTAGTACCAAAAGGTGGAAAGCTGACGGAAAAGGTCGTTGTCCTCTTCTCCTTTTTTTTTTATTTCTGTATTTCTTTTTATTTTTCTCTTTTTGAGATGGAATGAAAGATACCCAAGATGAATGAATTAAATAAATCATAAAATGATGACCGGGTAGCTTGAAAGCTTGAAAGATATCCAAGAAAGCTATATAGCTAGGTGGAATGGTGGATATATATTGATTTCCCACAAAAAATAACGACCAAGTATGAAATGATGATGAATTTGGAACAAAATTGAGAATTTTTTTTTGGTGAAGGAAACCATCAAGATCAAGGCTGTGAAACCTTAAAAAGCAGAAACGTGGTGCAAAGTTCTGAAACCAAATGAACAGATTCATTTGTCAAAGTGGAGACACAGACACCAAGTTGGGTTTTTTTTTTTTTTTATGTTGATAGGTGAAGAAATTATGTTTGTTTTGGAGAACACTGTAGAGGGTTGAAAGTTGGGTAATGGCTCTCATAATTACTGAAACTTGATGGACACATCAAAATCAGAGGCACAAGGCTACAATTGATTCATTTCTTCGTTCGGGTTTGGAAGGAAGCTAGCACGTCACTTAGATATTTTGTGGTATTATCGTATCGACAAGAGAAGAAGACCACCTTTGTTTAGGTAGAAGATGAGTTGTTATTGGGACCAAACCCATGTGATGCCGTGGCGTGGAGGTGGAGCCTTTTTGGTATCCTCTGTTGCTTTGCCTCTTTTCTCTCCTTCCTTTCTTTTATCTTTCTTTTTGTTCTTTTCCTTTTTGTATGGAGGCAACTGCACTGCATTTCCTTGTATGCACCTACTAATAAGCTGCAGTTATATACGTACGGGTTGAGGTTCAGATTAGGAGCAAAGCAGCATTTGAAGCCATGCGATGGAACCGATTGATGATACCAAAAACAAATGAAATGAAAACAAGAAAAAGAAATTTGGATTGCAACCTTCAATGAGACGCACACCCATAAAATCTTGTTCGCCCAAATCATGTGGCTCTTGTCCAGAGATTGACTTTCTAAAAGGATGCACGTTGGAGACAGCCTTCTATGATAATGCAGATGTTTGTCCTAAGAACAATCATTTCAAGCTTTTTCAAAATTCAGGTTCCTGTTGTAGTCGAACTGTTGGGCCATTGTCTCGCACAGTGCATCTGTGCCTGTGGACACAATGTACGCGCGCTAGCTAGCTGGATATGGTCCAAGCAATTGGCGTGGCGAGGCGAGGCGAGGCGAGAGGCTCAATTAGTCTTAAGACAAGACATATCCTCCTGATCCCTTTAATATTCTGCTCCATCATCTGTGTTATCTCAGCAATGTCATCACCAAAACAGATGACCCTACCAACTTACTTACCAAGTGGCAACTGCCCAGCACCTCACCAAGCTGCACTACACTACACTAGGCAGCCTCGGTGAGCATGCTGACTGAGTAAGCATTACAATCAGTATGTGCATGACACATCTTTAGTTCACCAATCGGGTGAACTGGGGAGGCACACCGCTGCCGCACACAGGCGTGGTAGCTGCTCAGTGTTTATGCTCATTAATGAATGTGCCAACTGGACTTTCGTTTGTCTATAATTCCATCATGGTACACCGTGACCAGGCCACGTCATTTCCATACGGCATATATGGGCGCTGGGGTTGCCTTTCATTGTCACAGATATGATTCACAAACGCTTAAATGGAGAAGGAATATAATTCACATCTTCTGCGCCCATGGTGCAGCACTTTATTCTCCTGCATGGGATCCCCCACTAATTAGATGCGGATGATGAAATGGGAAAACAGAAAAACAGATCACTGGAATGTTTTCAATTCAAGAATTCATCACTATTCACTAGCCAGCTTGTTTGTGTGTTGTTAGTTAACAGGGATAGCCGAGTCCCAAGTAAGTCCCAGGACCCAAGTCCTACTCGGTAAAACAAACAAAAATACAAACACATGGAGAGCGTGTTAAAAGTCAAAAGTTTGAGTGGTTAGGCCGAGCTAGCTGGACATTTGCACAACCCTATGTACCCAGAACATTGGAGCCTAAACCCCCTAACATGGGTAGTGTTCAACTAAGCCAAAGGGATAGAGCCCAGTTCTATGGACCCTCTAAATTATCAAGATAGATGCTCATGTAAGGGAGTAACTAAGGACATATCGATTATTGAAGGGACACTAAGAAAGCGAAAGGCCGGTCCATTAAAACCATAGAAACAGATGATTGCCCAAGTCCGAATCTTGTTGGCACAATGGGTGAGCAAGATAAAGATTTCTCCCTTGGAATAATGCTTTTGACTCAAGGACCTCCCCACCTTTCCTCCACTATATTCAACTACCTCTACTTTTGTCTCGGTGGAACAATATTCATTTATTTTAAGTTGCTCTAACACCACACCTTAACACATTTGCTCAGAAATTCTTTTCATTCCTAAATTGCCGGATTAGGCAGCTATTTTCCAAATTTACAACTTCAATCCCAACTCCCCAATGATTTTTTTTAGTCCTTAAAGTTAAAAGTAATAAGTAGGTAGATAGGTTAGACTTAGAGAGCAACCAAGTGCAAGTAAAGTACATTTTCTTCGAGTCAAAAAAAAAAAGCGAGAATGACCAATCAGCCCAGATGAGAACTTTATAACCCCAAAGTACGGGGGGAATGCATCCTGACCGTGAATTGATGCCAAATTCACGGATAGAATGTGATTTATAGGGGGAGAGCTGGAATTCAGAATTCTGGATCCTATCTATCCGTACTTGTCCGAAAAAAAAAAAAAAGAGTACAGTTTCTTTCTGAAAGTAGGGTTAAATCATTCAGCAACTCTCATTCTCAAAGGTCAATGTTCCACGTTCCACTCACATCTCTATTCTCTCCCTCCATTTAATTAAGGGTAACGTGCAGATTAGTATTGTATTTTGGCCTTTTGGGTCTAATCCACTATGGTATTTTAAATTTTAAAACGTATCAATTTAATTCAAAATTTAGTATCTAAAGTTCTGAACTCCCAAAATCTACGAATTTAGTTTCGGTCGTTGGTACTATGTTAGTTATCTGTATGGCATGTGTAATTTATAACTTTTGAAAATATCAAAATTATTTTTTAAAATAAGACATTGTTTATAATCTTTTTATTTTTTAAAAATAAAGATTGGACCAAAACAATAATGAACAACCCGAAATACATTTGGATTTAGGCGATTGGTGATAAAGAAAATTAGATGACACCTAAAGGGCATTTGCATATTTTCACATGCCACTAATGGCGTGTAAAATCTGGGAAGCTCATGGCTGGTTCAATGAAATGGAGTTGCCACCCATTTTTAGAGAAAATGGGTCTTCATTTTTAGATTCGAAAATTGATTCACTCGTTTTGATAGTGACTCTATTCTTTATGGGAAAAGGCACACAATTGAGAGATTTCCACCCCCAAGGATTGAGAGAGGGAAGGCGTTAGATACTCATCTCTCCATGCTATAGCAGCCCAATACGAGAGTTGTTCAGACTCAATTTTTTATGTAGAAAAACAGAAATGGTTGTAGGAATTTCTTAAATATAGAGGAACATGCTTTCAACTTCTCCTAAGATTGATTTTGAGGTGATGATATCAAGTCTAAGGTATTGATTTCCTTAAGACCCTCGCCTCTCTGCCTCTATTCTCAATTAAAAAAATTGCAAACGATGGTTCTCCAATATTTTAGAACTTTAAGCAATCCAAAAAAACTAAAAAAAAAAATAGAAATTACGAAATTAGGTTTAAAAGTTAAAATGAAAGACTTACATTTCGTATGTACCTTGTCAAAAATTTTCCTATAGGTAGGGATGAGATAGAATGACGTTTAAACGAGCTCTTGACCTAGGGAGCGCTTCTGGTTATAATAACTTCCGCTTCAAAATAGAAGAGGCAAATTTGGAATCTGAGATTCAGAGTACCTCTGAATTTCTAGTGAACAGAAGGCAGTATATGGCTTGTGAAAAAGCTCTCTTCTCTTTTTCCCGTCCTCCTTTCTGGCTCTCTCTCTCTCTCCCCTACCCCTCTCTCTAGGGGTCTCTTCTCAAGCTCGAGTTGGATCAGTATTTATAGAGAAATGGAGAGGAAGGGATCTGAAATTTGTTCAATGGGAGGAGACTTTCATAGGTGAAATGTTTTCTTCGATATGGG